TTTGCGGATAAAAGCAGATGTTTTCGGATAAAATCAGATGTTTGCGGATAAAATCAGATGTTTGCGGATAAAATCAGATGTTCGCGGATAAAACCAGATGTTTACGGATAAATGCAGATGTTTGCGGATAACATCAGATGTTTGCAGATAAAATCAGATGTTTGCGGATAAAAGCAGATATTTGCAGATTAAAATAGATGTTTGCGGATAAAAGCAGATGTTTGGAGATTAAAACAGATGTTTGCGGATAAAAGCAGATGTTTGCGGATAAAAGCAGATGTTTGCAGGAGAAATCTTATGAATCAGACTTTTGCGGACTAAATGAGATGTTTGCGGACTAAATGAGATGTTTGCGGATTAAAACAGATGTTTGTGGATTAAAATAGATGTTCGCGGATGAAAGTAGATCTTCACGTATAAAAGCAGATGTTTGCAGGTGAAATCGGATAAAGCAGACGTTTGCGGATTAAAGTAGATGTTTGCGGATTAAATCAGATAAAACCGGGTGAATGCAGATATAAACTCAAATACAGGTATTTGCGGATGAAAACAGATAAAAGCAGACATAGATCTAAATAGATAAAACCCGACGTTCGCGGATAATATTTATACACGCAATTGCAGATAAAAACCGATATGCCGGGTAAAATCAGATATGTCGGATAAAAACAGATATAAATGGACATAAAACTAGCTTGGTTTTTTATCCGCAATCATCCGATATTACCCGTCTTTTTCAGCAGGGTAGTAGTGATATAAATAATTAGTAGTTAAGTGTTTAGTTAGTTTTATAGTGTTTTAAGTGTAATTAAGTTATAAAATAAATAGTTTAGTTCGTTAATAAACCAGTGCGTGTTTTAATTCACACTACGAACAGTTAAAAACGTTATAATATAATATATATATATATATATATATATATATATATATATATAGCTATAGCTTCTTAAAGCGAAAAAACTCTAATTTGTTATTTTTTTTTTAATTTTCCGTAATTTTATCAATAACATAAAGATTATCATCGATAAAAGAATTCAAGATTTTAACTGACCCAAAAAAAATATCTAGAGCGGAAAAAACAAGAATTTCGTTTTGACTTCAAATTTAACCTTGAATAACTTTTGATGGAGTGAATTTAGCCAAAAATGTTAGGAGACTTTTTTGTAGAGCATTTGATTTCCCATAAGAATATCTATAGGTTTTTATTCCGGGTACTGATTTTTACATGAATTACAAAATTCAAAAGTTAAAAGATCAAATTGTAAAACCGTTGAGTGAAGAGATTCCTTAGTCATTGGTAAAACTATACCAATTTTTAAGGCATGATTGTAAGAAAACGGTTCATCTGACGGGAAATTCTAATTTAACCTTTTTTGTAGAACAATTTTGTTAAACTCAATGGTTTGAGAGTTCTGAGGCAAAAACTGGCTCAGGAAAAAAAATCTAAAATTGCGATGATAGGACCTCTTAATATTAATATTATGGACTTAAACTTTCACCATAATTTTTTTTCGTCACCCCAAACAATATTTTCGATATACTTTACAAACAAAAAAATAGTCGATTTCTTGGCCCAGTCTAATACTACATAACCACTATAGTGATTATGTCGTTGAAGATAATCACAGCAGCGATTCAGACTGTGAAGATTCTAAAGTAAATAATTTTATAGTCAGAATTTAAAAAATTTTAAGAAGCTATAGTTTTAAGCTGTTAAAAATATATATAGATATATTGGAATATTTTTTGTTTATGTTATTTTTTCAAAGAATATGAAATAAAGATCGTTTATTTTGTTTGGTTTACCTAATTAGAAAAAGACGTGTTGCACTATTTTTGCCTGTTTTTTGTGCAACTACCTGTGTTATGTTATTATTATTTACTCTCAATTGAGTTAAAAAACACAAATTTCATAATAGTTATTTTATATATGGGTCGTTCCACGCCAAATTGGCCACTTTTGAACCCGACCCCTTTCGATTTGGCTGAAATTGTGTTATATTTTTTCACCCCACTAAAAATTTTTCTTAGATTTTTTTAGTTTTTTTCACCCGACCAAAAACATGTTAAAAATTTTTCAAAAAACTGTCTCTTTTCCCAAACTTTTTTTTATGAACAGTTCATTTAAAACCAAAATAAAACCGTCCCATTTAGTCAAATTTTGACAAAGTTATGTGTATTTTAAAAGAAAATTGGCAATTTTTTTGAAAATTCGTAACTTTTTTTTGGTTGGGTAAAAAAATTGGAAAAATTATGAGAAACTTTTTTAGTGGGGTAGAAAAAAATTTAAAAAGTTCAGGGGTGGGTCAAAAGTGGTCGATTTGGCGTGGAGTTCCCCATATATATATATATATATATATATATATATATATATATATATATAAATTAACTATTATGAAATTTGTGTTTTTAGCCTAGTTATTTTTAGTTATTAGGTATACCTAATAAATTAATTTGGATTTATCAAAATTGAAGCTAAATCAGAACAGACCAGAACCAAAATAGGAAAATCAGAACCTTTACTACCTTCGATTTCCTGCCAGAATGAAGACCTCAAAAACACATGTTTTCATTAAAACCTATTTGTAAACAAATAATTTGTTTAAATTTGTCTTTTATTTATGTATTATTTTTTGATGATATTCTAACTTTATATATAGTTCCTAGTATCCCCAAAGCCTCAGATAAAAAAATAATAAAAATTATAATTTTAAAAGGTAGACCCCTTATAACATAGAAAAAGTATAAGTACCGTTTAAGCAGAGCTGTTCCGAGTACAATGAAAAAGTACTCGAGTACTGAATACAAGTACTCTTATATAAAAGTACTCGAGTACCAAGTACAAGTACCGTTGTACTCGAGTACCCATACGAGTAAAAAGTACTGAGTACATTACGAGTTATGAAATGTTGGGAAAAATGCTAGAGAAATGGGGCGATTAAGAAATCATTAAGAATTGCCTTCATCAAATATTGATATTTCGCTTTATGTTAATTATCAAGGCCGACTAGTATCTTGTTTTACTTTGCCTTAGCTTTATTTTTTAATTATCTTTTTGAGGAATATTTCTACCAAAATATAAACAAAATTACATTTCATACATAAGTAAATACCTTTTGTTCAATGCTCTTTCCTGTGTCTTTTTATTCATTGATTGAGGCTGTCTTAAGGCTTTCGTGTGAGGCAGGCTGGCTGAGGCTGCCTCAGGCAGCATGTCCGTAATTTTACGAGTCTGAGCAGTGTTGCCAAATTTTCAACACCCACGCACATATTTGTCCACGCCAACCTCACCGCATTAAAATGTACTCATTGCATACTTTGGATGTACTCGAGTACATGTAAAAGTACTCGAGTACACGGGAAAGTACTCGAGTACATTTTTGCAATCTTAAATGTATCAAGTACAAGTATAAGTACATTCAAATTAAAGTACTTGGGACTGAGTACCGAGTACACTGAAAGTACTTGGAGTACAGTGTTTGAGTACTTGTACTCGAGTACCGCACAGCTCTGCGTTTAAGTCGTACAGTACAGGTTACGGGTTAAAAGTTTTAACCACGGTCTTATATACAGGTCTTGCAACTTTAAGCTTCGAGGTGGCTTCCTTAACGTGCCAAGCCGCTAGGTGGCGCTAAGATCGAAGGGGTAAAGTCAATTAAACTACTACTTAGTTAAATGTGGAACTACTGCATAACCATAACCTAACTTTTTAAATTCTTTTTCTATGTTTTGTTTACATTTTCGAAAATTTAATATTTGTGAGTTTGTTTCGGATAATTTACGTTAACAAAATAGGACAACAAAGTCTATACTATATGCACAAAGTCCTCGGCCGTCACATGCCCAGACCAAACATGTTAATGTATAAAATACATACGTATATCATATATATGTTACGGCTAATGTGTAAACATGGATAGTTTATTAAGTAGCTGGGTAGTTTATAAACTAGCCAAACTGTCAGCTATTTTAATTGAAAACGTATTTTTAACTAAATTAGCGGCTAGTTTGTAAACCAACCAAGGGTCTTGGCTAATTTACTTAAAATTATTTAGGAATAGCTGGATAATTTGTAAACTATCCAATTCAATTTGGCTAATATGAAAACCAAAATTTCTAGTAACACAACAAACTAACCAACCAATATTCTGGCTAATTTATTAATAACCGATTTTTTTATTGTCTTGGCGGGGATGGGTTGATTGTTTATTTAAAATAATATATATTTCACCAACACGATGTGCTTAATTATATAATAATCATACAAAATGTGAAGGTGTCAATAATATGTTTTTTATTGCACATTGCCATGTTTTTAACCGCTCCTTATTTGTTAGCACTTTAAACATGGACCGCTTAATTTTAATGCCGGAACGATAGCTTTGCTGGTTACATTTTGGCACAACACAGGACTTCATGTCTATTAAAAAGCACAAATACAAATGTATAACAAGAACAAATATAACAAGAAAAAATAGAACAATATAATATAACAATAACGAATATCACAATAACAATAAGTAAAAACTCCCTGTAACAAAATACACAAGCTTGTTTATAAAAATGTAGGTTATGTTTCTTCACAGAACATAAGTAGGTAGTTCATTTGACCTTTATCCCATAGACTTTAAGGAGTTAGAGCCGGTTTTACAATCGTTAGATTAGGTTAGCTTATTTGGCGGATAACTTTCATAGAAACCTTCTATCTAAGAAAATTATCCACCAGAGAGCTTATCTAACGATTGTAAAACACAAAGATAAAGAAGGTAAAAACGACCTTTAAACATCTATGGTTCACCCTCAACTCGATGCGCCATCTGGTGGGTGTCTCATTAGAGAGGTCACTTTTCCTATTGAAATTGGGCGAAGTTGCAAGACCTGTATATAAGACCGTGGTTTTAACTTAAAACATACATAAAAATGATTTGTATGCTTATGCAACCCAGATATCACTTATTGACAATAAACATTCTGTGAACATAACCTTAAAGTCTTTTTAGGTTAGCACATGCACATGTAAACAAGATATCAAAGGCATAACGACAAAAATGGCAGAAGAAACTGAAGAAAAACCAAAAAATTTTCATGAAATGGAATTAGATGATCGAATATTAAAGGTAATATGGTTTTTCTTTACAATAAAACATTTTAACAATTAAATACGCCTGTTTTGTATCTAGGCTGTTGCAAAATTGGGATGGCAAGTTCCAACTTTAATTCAAGAAAGAGCTATACCTTTACTTTTGGAGGGAAAAGATGTTTTAGTGAGAGCCAGAACAGGGTCAGGCAAAACAGCAGCATTTTCAATACCTGTCATACAAAAAATTCTTAACTTCAAAGAAACAGCAAAACATCAAGAAATAAAGGCTCTTGTGCTGGCTCCTACAAAAGAATTATGTCATCAAATATGCAGTGTGATCAAAGACTTAACAATTAAGTGTTCACGAGAAGTGAGATGTGTTGATATTGCACCACAAGTAGATTTAAGTGTACAGAAACCTCTTCTTGTTGAAAAACCAGATATAGTTATCGGAACACCTTCAAGAACATTACAGCACCTAAAAGCCAACAATTTGAAATTGAAAAAGTCTTTGGAGTTGTTGGTTATTGATGAGGCTGATTTAGTGTTTTCCTTTGGATATGAAGAAGAAGTTAAAGAAATTATGTTGTAAGTATCTAATTAAAAAATATCTGAAAAATATTTGTACTTTTTTAAAAATTGCTTAATATATTACAGTGGTGAATTCATACTTTTCATAATATTTAAAGGCTAGTTAGCCCAATAATTTTTTGTAATACTTAAATATACACCGCCATACAATAACAAAAATGCATTGAAATTACATAGAAAGAGTGGTCCCATCTTTTGCATTTAAGTTAAAATCAGTGCAGATAACTAAAAATTACAGGTCACTGTAGAATAAATTTATACACCTATACAGGGTGTTTCAATAAAAACTTCCAGGCCAATTATTTCGAAAACTAAAAGTGACATTTAAATTCTGTAAACGCCAGTTTTTAGCCTCTATGATTGGCTTCACAACTATGTAAAAAATTTGTTTGAATAATACAAGATGTAGGTGGCGCTAGTGTGCAAATAATTTTTTTGATGGCAGGTACTTTTAAATTATTTTTTGATCAAATTATGTCCCATACAAATTTTTGATAAATCCAACATAAACGGAGATATTTGGGGTTAAGTTTTTTTTTCATAATTTTAACGAGTATTTTAATTATAAATATTTTTAATATGCTTTAGCAGATGTTCATTTAATTCTGGTAATGATAATTTTAGTGATAAAACGCTCGTCTAGCGCTAACTAGATTAAAATTATTACGTCCAGTGACGTCTCAGGGGGCCCCTTAACAAATAATATTGGCAAAAAATAATACCCCATGGGGTATTATTTTTTGCACTGAGTGTCTGGTAATTTTTATATTTTTTTCGGATTATGCACTAAAAATATCCTTTTAATTAATCAAAAATTAATTTAAAAGTACCTGCCATCGAAAAAATTCTTTGCACAGTGGCGCCACCTACATCTTGTATTATTCAAACACATTTTTTACGCAGTTGTAAAGCCAATCATAGAGGCTAAAAACTGACGTTTGCAGAATTTAAATGTCATTTTTAGTTTTTATTGAAACACCCTGTATATAACCTATAATATTACATGTTTTACTATGTGTCAAACATGGAGCCTACACAAGAAGTCCAAACTTAAAATGGGAAATTGACAAAACCTGCCCACTAAATTGCACAAATTAGGTCTTCACCCGAGCGGGGGATGCTTTCTGACGTCTGCTGTTTTGGTACAAATCAAGCAATATACACAGGGCTGGATTTACGAATTTGCCGCCCATGGGCCCAACGCATCATTACCCCGAATAACGAATGACTCAGCGAATAAGCTAGAGTCGCGCCCCACTCGCCTCGTGTACATCGACTGCCGCCCTTCTACGCAGTGATGCACTACGCAGAATAATAGTGTAGTCTGATATAAAATTATCTAATGTATTAAAAAACTTCTCTTCCAACTTTTTATAGTTTTAATTAGTGTATAAATCTGAGTAAAAAGAAAAATTCTGCATAAAACGCTCTTGATTTTTTAGCAAAATTTTAACTGGCCTTCAAAATTTGCCGCCCCTAAAAATTTGCCGCCCTGGGCCCGGGCCCATGTGGCCCATGCCTAAATCCGGCCCTGAATATACATAAAGTTCGGACTTCTTGTGTAGGCTCCATGGCAAGATATATACACCTGGCTCCATGGTGTCAAACGTTAAACCTATAAAAAATATAGCAAACTCGAAAATTTCAATGTAGGGAAGTACAGTTGTATTCATTAAAAAAGCGTAGAAAAATTAGAATAAGAGAAAACTATCAAAGTATTGCTTAAAACCGGCTTATCATTTGCTTAAGTCTTTATAATAATTATTATAGGTTAATAAAAATGCAGAGCATTGACGTTGGGGATTAAATAAATCAAATATGGGTATTTTTCAAAAAGTTGGCCAAAATAGAAATTTTATTAAAAAAATTATAAATTAGATATATTACATATTTTTTCTATAGAATATTAATCAAATATTGAATATTTCATGCTTGTCATACATGATACAAACTATATTGTATTTTTTACAAATTTTCATTGTAGGAATAATTAATCTTTTCCGTGACACTAAAATAAAGGGCATTACAAATATTAATTTAATTTTTGTATTTACATTTTTTATTATCCTTTCTTCGATAATTATTTTCTACTGCTTTACATTTAAAATACCAGTCTCTTCTTCTTTTTTAAGATTAATTTGACTATTTCCCTCGTCTTAATTTCCACCAATCACAAACGCGCAATTTTGAATTACAAATGGTTTCTAGGTGAAAAAACTGTGTGACAGCACCTGTCAGCAGTTTATTCGAGTTTACCCGCGGCAAAACTTGACAGCTGTTGTCACCAAAAATTGCAATTTATATTTTAATTGTTAACTGTTACTCATGAAATAGTCTTGTCAAATACCATTCGGGCATCTAATTTTTCCTGTGAAAAAAATCGAAAAAACACAATGCTAAGTAATATTTTTTAACAAAATGCATTCGTGCAGGTGCAAAAATCCTCCTCTTCGACTCGGATTTTTGTTGCCACCAGCACTCATGCTTTTTGTTAAAATATTACTTAGCAACGTGTTTTTTCGATTCTTTTCGGAAAAATTAAATGCCCTTATGATATTACTTACGAAAATTTCCTATAACGATTTCATCTTCATTCTGTGTGTTTAAAATTTTCTCGAAATGTAGTTTTTGGGTGATAAAACCAACATTTTCATGTTTCGCGATCTTTAGCTTTAGGATAAACTACTAAACATCTAAAGAAATTGGTAAAAGAAACTGATACTCTGGCAAGTTCCACAGAAAAAAGACTTCTAATAAGTATACACACTCATATATTAATTAATTATTTCTTATTTACACCTGGATAGCGTTTATCGAAAAGGAACCAAGCGCCAAAAACTTTTTCTGGGGTAAACAAAATTATTTGCAAAATAAGTCATTTTAAATGCTGCTCAAAAAATTAATAATGATTTGGGAACCTTCTCAATCCTTTTGAGAAAAGTTTCAAATGATGATTAACTTTTGGAGCATTATTAAATATGAATTATTTTACAAATAATTTTAATAAGCCCAGAAAAAGTTTTTTGCTCCTTATCGCTTATCGAAAATAAGCGTTATCCATAAACATAAAATAATTTTTTCTACTACCTTACTAGAAAACTTAATTTTACACCCCCAACGAGGGAGGAAAATGCCTCTTTTCCTCCCTCTTTTTTTTAACAAGTTTATATTAGCAAGAGTTTTTGTACCTTGTCTAGCCCTATTTGATTTTGTAGGAAAAAGATTTTCATATCGCTCTTTCGATTTTTAAGGAAGGAAATTAATTGCAACTATTCTTGCCTCTTTAGCAAGATCTTGCGGCAGGCCTTCTTCGCTAGAACTCATTTTCAAAGCGTAGGAAGAATTTCAAGTTTATGATAAACATTCTGACAGCTTATAAAAACTGTTATTTTGTGTATTACCAAAAATACCATAGCAACAAAGCGTTGTCAACATAACGTCGGCGACGCAACACCTACTTAACCCCATACCGGGTTAGTAAAAGGAACCGGAACGCTTAAAATCTCTTAAAACCGTTAAAAGGTAATAGAAAAAACTATATACATACCTCAGGAGGAAAATGCGTTTCCTCCCTTGAATATTTAATGCCCTTCGCTTCGCGTCGGGCATCAAACTATTCGCGGGAGGAAAAGCACTATTTTCCTCCCATGGTATGTAAATAGCTATACTCACCTTGTTTAACTTTGACAGGTACTACAAACTACAATTATTATTATAGATATTTTACCTTGTTCAGAAAGCGTTGCCGAGTTGTGAATATTATATTGTGTGAAAATGGCGTCACGGATTGGACATTTTAAATTAAGGGATATCACAGAAAATTAACCTTACTTATTTCTATCAGTCACGTGGTGGGACTATGTTTATGTATTATGACCGTAACTACCAATGTTGACACGCGGGGTTAATTTAAGTTTAAATTTCCGGTTTAAAAAAAGCAACTAACAGACACAGAAACCCAAAAAAAATGTTCAGAATTCAATTGCGAGTCGATTCTATTTCCTCGTCCAATTTTGCCCATTTACTGTAAGAGTGAATATTTTTCTGCAAAATTTTGGAAAAAGTTGCTTCGGAACGGTAGTTCGACTCTTAAACCTTAACCCCCTCGAAAACCTTTTGAGTAAAGATTTTTTTAATTGCTTAAATTTGAGGTGACTTGAATTAAGTAAACAGGGACTGTGACTATGCCTTGTTGTGCATACGCTCATTTTTAAGTGACTCCTTAGGAGAATATTCAAAAAAGAATATTGAACCTCTACATTTGTTAATTATGTATTTTTTTTAGATTTTTACCGAAAATTTATCAAGCTATATTGGCTTCAGCCACCTTAAGTGAAGATGTTAAAAGTTTAAAGAGTTTGGTTTTGCATAATCCAGTTATATTAAAATTAGAGGAACCTGATCTGGCACCAGCCAGTCAGTTAACTCATTATCATCTCTATGCTGAAGAAATGGATAAAGCTACGATTTTATATGCTTTGTTAAAACTGCATTTAATTAGAGGAAAAACCATTGTCTTTGTGAATACTGTAGATAAATGTTACAAGTAAGTAATTAAATCATTAAAGGATAATTATAGTTGTTTAATGCCTTTTTTAGAATAAAATTATATTTAGAACAGTTTGGTATACCTACTTGTGTATTGAATTCTGAATTACCTGCCACTATTCGTTGTCATTCTGTAAATCAATTTAACCAGGGTATTTATGACATTATTGTTGCATCAGACGAAAAAGCCCTCGAAAAACCGGGAAATGAAAGTGTTGCTAGCGATGGTAAAAAATCAAAAAGAAGAAAAGACAAAGAAAGTGGAGTTTCTAGAGGAATAGATTTTCAATTTGTCGCAAATGTTATTAACTTTGATTTTCCATTGGATGTTCAATCTTACATACACAGAGCTGGCAGAACTGCTAGGGGCAATAACCAGGTGATTATTAATTACATTATTATCGGCTCAATAAGCTCCGCCCGTTTTGCTCGAGGAAATACTACTGGTAATCAAGATAATAAAATAGTAAAAATAAGCAATTTCCAAAATAAATATACTATTGCGTTTTTGATCCCTGTTTTTATTTAATGATTTCGCAAATTGGATGAGTTGCTAGTTTTAAGAAATTTATATTTATATATATTTATATTATATAAAGCGTTATACAAGTATAAACTTTCAAAATTCCTTAGGGTCGGGTTTAGGGCTGAACAGGTTTGTTATTTTTATCCCGAATATACATAGTTTTTTGTGCAATTACCTATTAGAAATATTTAATGTGTATGTAATTTAAAACCTTTTTATTTAAACTTGTTATGGTATTAAATATGGTACCTACTTTTATTGGTAAAATTTCCTCTTTATATAATAGTTTTTCTTATAGGGAAGTGTTCTTTCCTTTGTAAGCATTAAGGAAAAAGACTTATTGGACAGTGTAGAAAAAAGATTACAGCAAGGCCAGGAAGATGTTTCTGTTTTTAAGTATGTATTTTGTTTTGTTGTTAATTAATGTTTGTTTTGTACAAGCATATTTGTTTAGATCCTATCAATTTAAGTTGGATGAAGTGGATGCCTTTAAATACAGAGCCAAGGATGCTTGGAGAGCTGTTACTAGAATTGCTGTTAGAGAAGCAAGATTAAAAGAAATTAAGTTAGAAATTTTTAATTCTCAAAAATTAAAGGTAAGTTAATAATAGTACATTATAGACCAGACGGAGAAAGCACATATTATCGTCGAGCACACATTTCAATGCCAAGGTGATAGCCTTGGCAGTAGATTATTTGCGAGACAATTAAAAAGCTTTCGCCTCCGTCTTTTATATACTTTTTTTTCAAGTATTTAATTAAATAATTTCGGTCATCATTTTTAGGTTAGGTTCAACTGACATGATGACATTTTAGCTTTATTTCTGTTTTGTACTATGTAGTATTATTATGAAGTCTTTCTAAATAGTGTTTACAGTCTTGTATGCATGCTTAAAAAATATGCTTTTTCTATTTTTTTTTTCAAGTTTATAATAATTTTAATATTATAGCATTAGTCCAGGAAACAAAGATTGTAGAAGGAAAACTCGATGGTAGTCGGGTTTTATTTTTTTTTAGGTAGAGTCAGGGGTGCTGATAATGAATCAAGAATATTCCCCAAAAATTTCTTTCCGCGTCCCCTATTTCATCCCCCGAAAGTGGAGTTTTTTTGCGTTTTGGCTCTTAACTCGCTAACCGTGCATTTTTTCAGAATTTGACCTCTAATACTTTTGATTATGTACTAAATAAGGCACACGTTAAACCCCATTGCGCACCTATATGATGTGCCCTTTTGCTATGCGCAGTGTGCAAACTTGAGCGTTGCTTTCAAAATCACTTTTTAGTATAGCCCAATTTTTAAAGTAATCGATCCCAAACCTTACAGTAATCAAACATAACCGAATGGACGATTTTTTGAGGTACTAGACTTTTTCAAAAGTTACTGCTTTTCAATGTACAGGGGTTCTTTTTTCAAAAAACCCATTTTTTATTTCCCAAACGTCTTTAATGAGCCAGTTCGTTCAACCTTGATTTTTCGGTACACTTATCATCGTAACGAATCCGTAGTTTTTTTTAAATTATTTTCATAGCAAGTGCCCCACAAAAATTAAATTTTTGAAAAAAGAACCCCCTGTACATTGAAAAACAGTTACCTCGACAGTAACTTTTGAAAAAAGTCTAGTACCTCAAAAAATCGTCCATTCGGTTATGTTTGATTACCGTATGGTTTGGGATAGGTTACTTTAAAATTGGGCTATAAAAAAAAAGTGATTTTGAAAGCAACGCTCAAGTTTGCACACTGCGCATAGCAAAAGGGCACATTATATAGGTGCGCAATGGGGTTTAACGTGTGCCTTATTTAGAATCAAAAGTATTAGAGGTCAAACTCTGAAAAAATGCACGGTTAGCGAGTTATGATCCAAAAAGCAAAAAAACTCTCCTTTCGGGGGATGAAATTAGGGGACGAGGAAAAAAATTTTTGGGGAATATTTTTGATTCATTATCAGCACCCCTGACTCTACATAAAAAAAATAAAACCCGACTACCATCGAGTTTTCCTTCTACAATCTTTGTTACCTGGACTACACCCATGAGAAAAGATATATAAATATTTTATATTAACATTGGTTCGAAAGTCAAATTATTATAAACCTTACAGTACAAAATGAAGCCAAAATGTAATAATGTCTAAAAACCTAAAAATGATGTGACAATATCTTAAAGTAATATTCTAATTTTAGAAAAAAAAATTGTTCATAATACACGGCGACGAAAGCTTATTAATTAAATACAATAATATAATATGAGCTTTCTCCGCCTTTAATGTACTATTAAACGTTTGTGTTAAATATTAAAACTATGCGGATAAAGTCATAATTCTAAAGAGCCGCAGTTTAAAATAAAATCTTGTAACTTTTATAGAGCTACTTTGAAGACAACCCAAACGATTTACAAGTGTTAAGGCACGACAAGGCGTTACATACAGTAAAAATTCAACAGCATTTGTCTGACGTTCCGGAGTACATTGTGCCGCCATCTCTGAAAAGTTTAGCCGGCATCGCAAAACGCGGCAAGAGGAAGCGCGAACATTATCGACCCTCTGACAGTTCCACCGCCAAATATCAGGTTGGTTTTAAAATAGAATTCTGTAACAAGATTTGAATTGGCGAGTATTTTAAGTTAAGATAGCATTGCAGGTTTGATTTTTAAATATGCTTAATTATTATTTTTTTATTTTAATATCAAAATTGGAAATGAGTTAAAATTATATTTTATACAGGGTAATTCATAAGTACCTAATGTGATATGCAGAAGAGTATCCAATTTTGCTTTTTTTAATATAAAGTTATATTATTTTTGTACAGTATTATTTTATAGATCACTGGGTTTATACAATATGCAATGTTTTTCGATATTTTCAACGATGCACGATGCTTATTACCTATTTTATATTTCAAGTAGAATACACTCAAAAAGAAACATGTAGTCTTTTTTCAATATGTAATGTTTTTCGATATTTTCAACGATGCACGATGCTTATTATTTTATATTTCAAGTAGAATACACTCAAAAAGAAACATGTAGTCTTTTTTCATTTTAAAATTTTAATTATTTTGTACTTTTTTAGCTTAAAAAAAGTAATCCACTTTTAAGCATGGAATTTGATGGATTTGATAAAAAGAAAAAGAAGAAATGAAAATAAATTTAATATGTATGTATTTTAATAAACGCAAGCTTTTATTACCTTTGTGTTTTATTTTTAGGGATAATAAATTTTAGTCAATTATTATTATCTATATTATAAATCTTTCTGAGTTTTTCGTAAGCAATAATTTATAATACCCCTTTATTATTTCATTCTTGGTAAAAATAAATGTAAATTTGCTAAAAATAATATTATCTAATATTAGATAATCGCGACCACACATTTTTTGTTTTCTTGATTAATAAGTATGTTTTAAATTTTAAAATTATTTCCAGCAGTGATGAAGAAAAATAACCCTTTTGACTAGTAAATGTAAATTATCATTGACAATAATTGTAATAAAACTGCAGGTATTTACAGGCCTAAGAAAAAAATCATATATTAAATATTAACAATATTTTATGGAAACTCTTAATGGAGATACTACCTTAAATATCTCATAAACAAGTTAATAAAACTGTTTATTATTATTAGCTTGGTCCATAGGAAAAAGTGGCTTAATTTTTTGTAATTATAGATTTAATTTTATTATTTTATCACCATCATTGCTGAAGCATTCAACAATTTAATTTTTTAGGTGTCTTGAATGGTATTTAAAAATATTTAGTTAAATGCTTCAGCAATGATGATGATGAAATAATAAAATTAAATTAAATCTATAATTACATAAAATTAAGCCACTCTTTCCTATAGACCAGTAAATACCTGCAGTTTTATTAAAATAGTTTCTGTGATATTTAATTTAAAGAGTTTTTATAACATTTTTAATATTTGATTTTGTGAGACATCAGACAAACTCACAAGTAATTTCAGATTTTTTACAGCACAAATTCTAAGAAAATATTTAAAGTTACATTGTTTCCATACTTTACAGGGTATTTTGTCCCTTAAGAGTAATTTTCCATAGATTCTTTCAAAAATTCTTATACAAACTCTATAAACAAAAGAGGATCATGTTAACAGCTTATAAATTCCCAGATAACAACCGCGAGGGGCATCAAAACGCACATCGCCTTCACGTCGTGCAGAATCATGCGTGAATGTAAAAACGCTGCTATATGATATTCATTTATGATCAATGAGAATACACGCACGGGCATCAAAATGCACATTGCCTTCACTTCGTGCGGAATCATGCGTGACGGTAAAAACGCTGCGATATGATATTAATTTTATGATTAATGGGAATACACGCACGTGATTGGTATATGAGGTCACGAAATGATTGCAAACTTTTCACGTTTGCTGAATAGTTATCGCAAAATTTTAGATGTAATAATAGATATACACTACATCTTGCAAAAATATTTGATTTTACTTCATATTATAACTAAAATTTTCAAAAAATTGACTTACACCATATAGTTAATTTGTGGAAAGACTGGATTTGTAAATACTATATAGGATATCCGCCGGAAACTTTTCGAGTTACGATTTTTTTGAAAAATTTGGAAAATTTTATCGAACAAAAACTAATCGGCCGAAAGCCCGTTTAAATTTTCTTCGATATTTAAAAAAGTTAACCTATTAAAATCCCCGAAATCAAATCGATAACAGGGGTAAAAATATTAGGTAACAATGCGGCATTGCTAAATTTAATTGCGGTGTTGCCAGATTTTGCATACATTTAGCAAACGAAAAAAGATAATTAATGAAATTTGTTTATCGGGAAATCTTTGAATTAAAGTCGATTTAATTTTTTTCGCAAATCATACATATACCGGGGAACCGAACAAAGTATTCAGCAACACTTTGACAGATGTCAAGTGAACAGGTGACATATGTCAAGTGACAGATGTCAAGTTAACAGATGTCAAGATGACAGGTGACATATGACATGTGACAGATACAAAGTGACAGATGACCTAGGTGGAAGATGAGAAATGGCAGATGACATGTGACAGATAAAAGGTGACATATGTCAAGTGGCAGATGTCAAGTTGACAGATGATTAGTGGCAGATGACAAATAACAGGTGACAGGTAACAAATGGTATGTGACATTTGACAGGTGACAGATGACAGGTGAAAAATGACAGGTGACAGATGTCAATTGAGAGAAAACTAGTTTTTAAATGCGAAATGTTTTGCTGTAATAGTATATTAAAGTACAAGTTGCAGAAGGCCACATATTCTCGCACGAATTCGAAATTTGGCCTCGAGCGACGAAGGAGCGAGTGGACGAACGAATGAGTGCGAGAATAGCCTTCTGCAACGTGTGATTTATACTATTTTCTCGATTTTAACTTTTATTTAGGTTTTTTTAATTGTTTTGTGGTCGTTGTTAGTTAGGGGATTTTTCTCGCAAAATGTCAGTTGGCAACACAAAATGACAATATTTGTTATCCTGCACAAGTACAACCTGAACTGCACTTTTACACATTAAACTTAAAATTTTGCATTAAAATGCATTGTTGGAGCAAACTTTATATTACAAAACAATAATAAAGGCTTCATTTTCAATAAAAGTAATGAATTTGAGGTTATTAATCAGTTTGACATTTTGGGGGTACCAATACTTAAAAACTAAATGTTACCAAAAATCGTTTAAGAATGAGCTTCATTCTTCAACGATTTTGCGTGCGAGAATATGACATTCTTACATAAAAATCGAGAAAAGTTATTTTATTTTTGGTCAAGAATTGGGAATAAGATAATTTTATGGGATTTGAAATTGTATTGGTAATAATTCTTTAAGTGTCCATGAGATTAATAATACTGAGGGTGTGGATGCTGCTTCACAGAACATAAGCTGCTTGAATTAATTCATATAGTTATATTCGATTCAAATTTCAAATCGAATATTTAAACTATTAGAATAATTTAAATGTTTCGAATAGTTTAAATAAAATAGAAAATGTTTTGTAATGTTCTTGTAACATCTTTGTATTATATTAATGAGACACTATTCATGTTTTATAAAGTATTATATTCAATTCTACAGGAGCGTCTATTTCTATTTATTTCTTACATGACTGTTTCTATGACACCGCCACACTGGCTACTTGTCTGTCATTGAACAAGTACCTAGTTATTACAATATACTAAAGCTACTTGTTACATGTTTAACAATAATAAAACATGTTCACAAACTAAAAACACTAGCCTAATCTAAATCCTAGCTAACCCTAAATGAACAAAATTATTCTAAATTAAATTAAGGAGTACAATCTATGTAAATATCTACCCTGCTGAAAAAGACGGGTAATATCGGATGATTTCGGATAAAAAACCAAGCTAGTTTTATGCCCATTTATATCTGTTTTCATCCGACATATCTGATTTTACCCGGCATGTCGGTTTTTATCTGCAATTGCGGGTATAAATATTATCCGCGAACGTCGGGTTTTATCTATTTAGTTCTATGTCTGCTTTCATCTGGTTTCATCCGCAAATACCTGTATTTGGTTTTATATCTGCATTCACCCGGTTTTATCTGATTTTATCCGCAAACATCTACTTTAATCCGCAAACGTCTGCTTTATCCGATTTCACCTGCAAACATCTGCTTTTATACGTGAAGATCTACTTTCATCCGCGAACATCTATTTTAATCCACAAACATCTGATTTCATCCGCAAACATCTACTTTAGTCCGCAAAAGTGTGCTTCATCCGATTTCACCTGCAAACATCTGCCGCTGCAAACCAAAAAACCAAGTTGGTAAATAACGGACACCCTAGTATACATAATTGTCGAATCAGTATTAAATTAAAAAATATTTCAGCTGGTGTCGTATGGGGTAAAGTTCAATCGTACAACCCGTGCGGAAAAGAATGTCAAGCAGCGTGCGGCATTTTAGAACATGCCATCCCTATTTTCAGCAACGTAACGTTCTGGAAGATGCTTTCAACAGTCCAAATCACATTAGCAACAACCAAAAAGCTCATACACTCAATTTAAGATTTATTGTAGTTTGATTATTGTTTATTTTTAGATTTTGTCTTGTATTCAATTTTTTTATTAGTAAATGTTGCGTGTTTTTATTTACCTTTACACTGTAGGTATTTAAGCTTATAGGTAATATAATTAAGTAAAAAGTCCCTATTATTGTCATTACATTAGCAATAAAACTACTTAATATTCATTATATAATTATAATTATATTAATTGTTATTTAAACATTTCAATATCCACCCTTTTGTTTATTCAAAATTCGTGTAGCTCGATCCAATTATCTTGTTCGAACGGTTAAATAACCAGGCCAATTCACTAACATAAGTTGTTAACGTTAGCCACTAGAATCAGTGGTTATCGTTATATTTAAACAGCCCGATTGGCCGGATTGCCCTATAACCACTGATTGCCCTATAACCACTGATTCTAGTGGTTTAACCAACTGACACTTTTGTTTTAAAATTATTGCAATACTTTTGTTTTTACATAAACCCTGTATTATATAATATAGTGTAGCGAGTACCGCCCTGGATATCGGAGTGATGACTCATCGCCGATTAGTCATTGCCGGTGAGTCATCGCCGGTGACTCAGCGCTCGAATAATCGAGAGTGTGGAGCTCGCTGGAATGTTCCAGAAGACCTTGGCGCTGAATATATAAGAAACGGAGCAACACAGGGCAGTCAGTTATGATTTGGTACTCGCGGCGAAATAAATAAATATAAGTGCAAATAAATAGACTCTTGAACAATAGTGATATATAAATAATTAGTAGTTAAGTGTTTAGTTAGTTTTATAGTGTTTTAAGTGTAGTTAAGTTATAAAAATAAATAGTTTAGTTCGTTAATAAACCAGTGCGTGTTTTAATTCACACTACGAACAGTTTAAAAACGTTACAATTGGTGTCAGGAGTGCGGTTAGTGTGAAACTTCGCGAAAATGGTTTCGTTAATGGACTTAAAAGTGGCGGACCTTAAGCGGGAGCTAGAAGAAAGAGAATGTGAAACAACTGGAAAAAAGAATGTGTTGCAGCAGCGGCTTCGAGAAGCATTGGAACAAGAGGGTGAAAAACCAGACCCAACGAACAAGAAGATTACGAAGCGTTGGTGAAACATCTAGAACTTCGATATGGCCAGACACATCT